CATCTGTTCCTCATTCCCATCACACCAAGCCTTGCCTGTCATCACCCACAATGACTCTTGGAGCTCTGTCCTGCCTGTTTCAAAGTGGTTGAGCTCAGAGGAGCTGGAGATGGCTGAAATATTATTTTTTTACCGTATTCTGCAAAGCCAAATGCATAAAGACACAGATGTACTTCGACCATCTCCAAAGTCAGCTTCTGTTTGGCTCAACACTGAGCTAGGCAAGGATGTGAAACATGGCTAAAATGTGTGCTCGGTTAAGGCAGGGGCCAGAAAAAGCTTTTAGGAATGTCTAGTGGGACTGATTTCCTCCTCTCTTTTGTGTTTTTTCCTCCAGATGTGTTAACATGGGAATAGACAGACCTTGATCTTCTTGTGGAGACTGCCCTGATAGGAAATGTGTTGTGTGCCTTTATCTGGGAGGCCCTGGGTTGGTTAGGACAAAATATTGCCAGTGTGGGGTGGTTCTCCAGAGTGCAAGGAGTAACCTGGAACCTCTCAGCATTGCTCATTTTCTGCAGAGCTTTTTCACATGTGGGCCTTGGCAGCACCAGTGCCTGGTTTTAGAGTTTTGCAAGGTGGACCATGATGTAGAACAGTCAATCTTTTCTAGATTTGGTAGCTTTTGAAAAGTTCTATGGCAGCAAGGTCAGAGGGCTGCTGCTTGCTGGGGGCAGGGGCTGTGACAGACCTTCCCCATGTCCTGTGTGTCAAAAAGGAAAGCAACTCTCTCCACTTGCAGAACAGAAAGATTTTCCTGTTTTGCTGGTGGCAAACTGTGAGTAACTTGCTAACAGAGCTTGTTCATTGACTCCTAACACTGAAAAGTTTTTCACACTTCACAGTCAAGTCACGTCCTTCCCCACCTTGTCAGCACACAGATTTTCTATTTTGTTCCTGTTTGTTCTTTCCCCATCCCTCCAGGTACCAGAAACCCAGCTGGCACCCTAGTCCCTGGTACTACTTTAGTATTAAAGTTCAGGACAAACATTTAATACCATTTCAAGGGACAGATTATCAGAGCTTTAGACGTAATGAAGGGAAGAGTTGCCCAAAGCTCATGTGATTCATGAGACAAAGGATCCTCAGGGCAGAACCTTTTCCATGGAGACACTCAGCAAGTCCATCCTGTTGTTACAAAAGGCAGGTTTCCCTGCAAAATGTTGTAGCAGTCAGAGGTTCCAGTGATGCAGATGATTTAGTCACAGCAGTTATAAATCCTTCTGGAGCTGGTGGGATACCAGCAATCCTAAAGGCACAATGTGGAAGAATCCCAAACACTACAGTGTGGACATGAGCAGTGTCCTCCTGTTTGCACAGCAGTTTTGATCTGCACAGAAGAGATTTGCAGGAGGACTCTGGCACAACAGCACAAGTTGGACCATGGGAAAGAGCATGTGCTCCAAAGGCACACAAAGCTGATCTACAGATTGAAGTATCTCAGCATTTTTGACACAGAGACCACAGGAGAGAATTATCAAATTGCATTTCCTCAGGTCAGGAGTAGGTTAAATTCTAGACGGAAAATAGGCCTATCATAGATAAACTGACAGCGCTGCATCTTGATGAGTTATGGCATTCTTTCCTGACTGCCAGAACAAGAGAGTTCAAAAATAAGTGGTAGCAATTTCACATTTTAATTGGCACAATTGTAGAAAATGCTCCTTGGCAAGTATCAGGTATTATGTCTAACAGACCAAGCATTTGTCTGCAACAGACTTCCTTTGTGTCACACAGGAATAAATAGACATGATGCTGCCTTATATGGCATAAGCATCACCTTGTGAGGGAGATGTGATGACTGTGAAATGAAGCTGAAGTTGGCAATGATAATGCAAACAAGAGGATACCTTCAGCATGAGTGCTGACCCCATTGCATGAATAGCACAATTCTGTCTCGTAATAAAATCCTCTGCTATTGTCTGTGTGTGCATAAAACACCCTTGTAGTGAAATATATACTTGTGTTCTCTCCCAGAAAACTGAAAAAGATAAATTAGTGCCCTCTTATGCCTCAAGGCCAGAAAGCTGCAGACAGAAACTGAGAACTGGAAGTCAGTTCAGTCTGTTTCTCAAAGTTATACAGCACAGCTTCAGCTGCTGCTTCTTAATGCTGAAGTCTTGAATACTCACTGTGCATTGCCAAAGTCCTCTCCAGAAATTTTCAAAATTCATTTTTTCCTTCAGACCACTACTGTTTACCCTCCCCAGCATGACTGACCCCTGGTTCCATTTTCACCTTTCACATCCCTGAACATTCTGAGTTAGTTTTAACTTCCAGTGACCTCATGTAGTTCTTCACATTTGCTGTTCTCCTTCGGGTGCTTTTCTGGTATTTCACATTCGGACTCCACATCCTTGCTCCTCCTCTCACCGTCTGCAGCTTTCCATGCAGGTTCCATCCGGAAAGGGCCCAGGCCGGTTTCAGTTCCCTTCGCCAAAGAGGCGAGGAGTGAGTTTCTTTAGAGGTGGCTCAGCACCCTCTGCTGTATCCTCAGCGAACTGCAAATTTCCTTGCGCATCAAGGACCAATTCCTCACAAAAGCAAGAAAAATGATGTGAACACAGATGTGTAAGAGAGTGATATAAGAACTTCCGTGCCTATTGGAAGATAGAAAAAGCCTTGCTTTTTTCCCCTTCTCCTCTTCTTAAAGAGTGAAATACCAAATATAGTATTTTCAACTTTTTTAAACAAATGATAGATGCATTGAACTTGGCAAATGACATCCCTCAAACTGTTTTTCCTTTTAAATTATTTTTTCCCACCTACTACTTTATTTAAGAGCCACTTAGATGTAAGTTTTGAAAAAAATCACACTGTTTTCAGTTCATTAATTTATTTTTCATTTTTTTCTGAAACTGGGAAGCAAGAGGATGTCATTCAAAAGTGTTTCTCCTCAGCATGGATAGTTCCAGTGCCTTTGCTTTCTTTCTCAAATTGTATTGTTCCTCTTCAAAGTGCAGTTCAAAGCTATAATATTTCTGAAGATGAGGTTGCTGGGGTTTTTTTCTTCAGGAATAGAGTGTGGGCTCAAATAGATTAGGCAATACATGTTAAATAGAAGATACTACCAGACACACAAGTTCAAAGCAGCAATAAAATAAAAATATTCATTTCCATACTACATTTATTTTCTTTATTGATACGATGTTCCAAGTTTGCTTCTCAACCTACAGCTACAAAACTTAGTCTGCCTGTGTCCAGCTTTCATCACAGAAAAGGTAAGCTGATGATTACCTGAACCATGAAGATTGTTACTGAATTTGAGTGAAAACCACTGTGGTGAGCAGAAAACAGAAATCATTCTGTTCTCTGTGAACATTTATTCATATCTCTGAATGACACGGTGATTCTTTGCTACTGTGACTGTTGTAGATCTAGCAGGTATGACCCTCTCCTACATAAATTCTTTCAGACAGGGCCCATTTATATACACAAATTTTCAGCTTTATGAGGCTCAATTCTGCAACTGATGAGGGTTTGTGGAGTCAGATGAAGAGAAACAAAACCAATAAAAGCAAAGTATTCCACCTGACTGCAGAATGCAACTTCTAGCAAGTATAAAAGCTATAGTACAACTTCAGACTTGGATGACAACTCTGCAGTGTGATGAAACAGAGATTAGAGAGAATCCCTTCTTGGGATGCAAGCAAACAGAAAACCACTGGGGAACAAATAACATTGAAGCAGGCAATCATGTTTTACCAGCCTCGCTTTTCAAGCTATTGAAGCTCATCTGGAACTAAAGGAGAGTTGAATTCTTTTAGGAGTTTCACTACACACCTTTATTTGAACATGTCTGTGGCACTGAAAAATTAAATCTTTTGACTGGAAGTTTGCTTGGAAGGAAGTTGACTTTGAGATCCCAGCTAAACCCTGAAGTATAAGAATACTGAGGAGAAAATCTACCAACTTTCCCATAGTAAAAAAAAAAAAAAAAAAAAAAAAAAAAAAAAAAAAAAAAAAAAAAAAAAAAAAAAAAAAAAAAAAAAAAGTTAAAGCAGCTATACATTGAAATAAGGCAAATATGAAGTTGAAAATTCCCGTGCTGGAGCAGGGCAAGGACTCTTCTCCCTGAGCAGTGGAAGAAACTTGCAATGAACTAATTGATTGTAACTCCCTTTCTCTGACTCCATGCACTTCTCGGTGTGGAGGTAGACTTGGGAAGGAGGGAGGGGTGGGGGAGAATATTTTCTTAAGATTTATTTTACTTCTCATTATCCTGCTGTGATTTTATTAGTAATAAATTCAATTAATATCCTCAAGTTGAGTCTCATTTGCCCATGATGGTATTTGGTGAATGATCTCTTCCAGTTCTCATCTCAACTCCTGAACCTTTCATTAAGTTTTCTCTCTCCCATCCACTTGTGATATGAAAAGTAAAACATTTCAACTCAAATGTTCATCTATTCAGGGAAATTTATCTCAAAAAAACACACCAGCTTTTAGTCTTATTATACTTAAAATAGTAAAGGTAGAGTCAAAACCAAACAAAGGCATTTGATGACTCAGTCATACCAAAATTTTGCCACATACACAGTGATGGAGGGCATATGAATTTCAGAGTTGTTCTCAGAAAAGAAAATTCTGGCACCCTTCATTCAGAGCCTCCAGTTGCTATTCCTGTGCAAAAGTAAAAGTATTCTTCGCTGTGTTTTGTCTCTGAATTCCAGTTCCTCTATTTCATTCCATTTTGGGAAGAAATCGTTGCTACCTAAATCAAATGGTGAACTTTTACAAGCATGGAACAGATACTGTGTTCTGAGCTCAGCAGAGCCTGCTAGAATGTAATATCCCTCAAAATTTACCTCTTCTCAAGAGTGCAAACAAAAGGAGATGCATTGAGTAAGAACCAAATTTTGGAATTCTGTAATCAAAAATCCATAAAGAAATTTCTTTTCTTTAGCATTGAAGTCTATCTATAATACTGTACAGGAACCATTATTTATTATGGAGCAAAAAATGCTCATTCAACATATAATCATGTTTTGCCTTAAGACTTAGGTAATAAAGGACTTTTATTTATGCAATATATTGGAAGTCAGAATTTCAGAAAACAAGAAAATGTTGTACTCTCATTTAAAACTTCAGTAGATGTTAATCAGAAAAATCAGTGACATTTTAAATACAGTATTAATGCTGAACAATTTGCTGGTTTATGCCAATTTGACATATCATGGAAGTTACAAATATTTTGATATCCAGAGACTATGCAGTGCTTCTCCAGATGCTTCTTAACCAAAATAATTCACAGATGTTTGCTCATCTCTCTGCTGAACGTCCTCCTAAATTAGTTGATCCTAGAATAAAAATACAAGTACAAAGGAAAAAAATTAAAAAAAAAAAGCTTGGCAAAACTAAAGTAAAGCTGTATTCTTGTAAATTATTTGGGGAATTTATATAAGGAAAAGCAAAACTATGAAAAATTGAAAAAACAACCTACACAATTGATGAAAACTTTTCTATTGCCATTTTCATGAATATAAATGTGCTCCTCTGTATTTCCATAAAAGCATTTTTGCCATATTCCAATTGTAGCTATATAAGTGAATCTTCAAAGCATTATTCTGTATATGAACTGAAGTTAATGGCAATCATAAAGCCAAATGACATCTATTACTGAAGTTCAATACAGCTACTTTTTTTATAACATTAATTTCTCCTATATTATTTATAGATCTTATCAGGTCCATGCATTATTTCACATACTGTATCACTCTCCAGAAATCTCATAATTAAAACAATTGTGATGTAAAATTTTACAAACTATAAGTCTTCATTTCTTAAAATATTTTTATTTTGGTTTCATGAACTCAAAACTACTTGGGATGTGCAGGAAGGTCACATTTATTAGTATGGACTGAAAGTGCTTTCGAGATGAATTATCTTTTATATAAGTTTTAAAAAAAAATCAATTATGATGCAAACTTGGAAATAAGGAGAATTAGGTTTGCAAGATGTGATTGGTCAGGGTGCTACAATATCTTATCTAGATTCTCTTTCCCAAAAAGGGCTAGACCATTCAAGGTGCCTTCTGACCAGGGCAGTTCTATGATTCTGTGACTCTGATTCTATTAATTAATCTGCCCCAGTGCAATTTCTACCCAAATCCACTCCCCCCACCAGACCCCCCCCCCACCTTGGGCTGATGTTTTTAGCTGCTTTTGCTAGTTTTATGTTGCACTTAACAAGTAACACACTGGACTAGCTCCCTTTTTATTGGGATCTGTGGACATCTACATGGATGTCTTGATAGGCAGATCTTTAAGATATGTGCAGCTGAGAAATAAAATTTGGACATTATCAGATTTAAATCTCTGTTAAAATCTAATTCTGGAGTGAAGCAAGAACATATTTTTACAGCAGATACTGTCCCACACATAAGACCAAGGCAAAATACAATCATAAACACTGTCATCTTTCATATTTTGCTGAAAGCCTACTTCCAATTCTGAAATATCCTTTTTATTCTGGTGAATTTATTAAGCTGCTATGCTGACATTTTTTCAGAAAGTGTTAAACGCTAGTTTATAAATATACTTGCCTTGCTGTCTTTGCAGAAGTCCAGAGATGGTGATTGGCTGCCTTGACAGAGGCAGCTGTGGGGAAGGTGATGCAAATGGGTACAGCTGAGGGGTTCTGAAATCAGCATTAGCCCATGATCCCCTTTGACTGCTTTGGGATCCAGATGATGATGGACAAGCACTATGTGGTAATCTCACCACAGGGGTGGATCTGTTAATGAAATTAATTAATGCATGTGATTTGAGACTACTTCTATAACAAAAGATTCCAAAATTACTTCAATTTGTTGTCTATGTATTTTTACTTACTGAATATTTTTTACATATTTCAAAAAGCAGACTGAGAAAACAATTATTGAATCAGAGCTGGAAAAAAATTACTCTGTTACACATATTTTAAATTTCTGCTAGGAAGATATACTTGGCTTAATGATTATAAACAATAAGAGTTTAATTTTTCTGGAACAATTTAAAGTTATTGATGTTAATAATTCTCACAGTTTAAGACATTTTCAATGTTTAAATTTAAAAAACAGAAACACCTGTTGCAGGCTGCATGAAAAGTTTGGGTTATTCAGAGAACAGCCCTTGTGCAGATATTGTACTTTCATCTGATTTTTGTAAGAATGATAGAGCAAAGACATTGTTGAACTTCCTCATTATAAAATTACTACCCCTTTCTATAGGAGTATCATGACTGCAGATGTCAACATCTACAGAAGCACACATTCTATCTGCACATTTTTGAAAAACATGATTTCAAAATAAAACTTTCCCCCCAAAACCAAACATTCATGTAGATGATAGGCAGGCTGCACAGTAACACTTCTTCAGATCTAGACTATAACCTTTGAACATACAGATTAATAAAGGCTGGAGGGAAACTTACAGTCTCTCATAGGAGATGGCAACCTCTTGAAAAAGTATTGAATTACCTTGTAGATCCTGCTCCAGTACACTGACTCGGTTTTATTAGAGCTATCTGAGAACTCCTGTAGGATACACTACCTGTTGGAATCAGATTTTTGAAAACAGGACCAATGTGCATTACCTGTTTTACTTAAGAGAAAACTTTGGAAACAAGATTAGTACCTTTTTTGCATGATTTGGGACAAACTCATTATTAACTCATTGAAGAACTAAAAATGGTGCACAATTACAGTAGTCAATGAGAGAGTTCAGCTGTCACAAAAACATCATATTGCACCATCCCTCAAATTGTGTTCCAGTTAAACACATGGTGTTTTCTTTCACCTTCTTTCATTTATTTGACTATTATTAGACTACCAACACAGCTGTGCTGAAGTGCTCCAGTTCTTCAACTGATCTTATTTTTTTGCCACATCCACTCTGAGAGGGAAACTTTCCTTAGTGCACCATCAAATCATTGTTTCCACTTACCCTTACTTTTGCACATAAACTTTGATTCCCTCAGCATTGCCCACTGCTAAACTTTATGTGAAGGTTCTGAAATCCACTGAACATGTAACTGTTCTACATAAAATTTTACTGTCTAATAAATATCTATTTATATTTAGATACAATAAAAAAACTGGTTAACCTCAGCTCTCTTTATCTTGTTAAGCTTAAATTTATAGGCAACCGTGTGTTTAGGAAGGATCTGAGCATATAAATCAGACATAACATAGACAAAGCAGTTTTTTCTCCTCCACTGAAATTGCATTGCAATTGCATTTGTTTCAGGACACTTACACCATATAAAAAGACAAGAACACTAAAAGTTCTTTATGTGCCTGCAGATGGATTCTCTGAACTGCTGAAGCCAGGTGAAAGCCTGCCTGAGCACAGACTGCTGCAGAAACATGCTGAATGTAAAACCAAGAATGGGAGAGACACATAGATAGCAGGCCTGCAAAGCATTAGGAATTCTGGGGAAGTCCTCACAAATAAACAGTTCTCAAGAGACTGCACCAATTCCAGTAGGCTCTTACTCATGTCTTATTTACATCTGAGTGTTACCCAAGTTCAGGGTAAGAAGGAATGAAAGAAAGTAATGGCAGGTAAAATGTCTTATACCCTATTACAGTGATAAGGTGAAAAAAAAAAATCACCTTTTTGACAAAATTCTTGATCTCAACTACCTCACTCTTGTTATTAAATATTTTTTTAACTTCCATTCAGTTTCCCCCCTTTCCTTCATGTGATATTCAATATGACATCGTGGACAATGTTACTCTCTGTTAACCACACATAAATAAAATTATGAAGCTTAACAGAGGGTCAACAATGTATATATAAGAGGGTCAATAATGTATATATAATGTATATATATTGCAAGTATTCCTGTTCTGTTCAATCACACATATAATTACAGTATTTTCTTTGCAACTGTTTGATTCAGAAAAAATTGGTTTGGTTACAAGTAATCATTTACTGACAGAAGAGGTAAGTACTAGGAAAACATTTCATACTTCCTTTTAACCATTTCCCAGCTGATGGATTGAAGTCCATGTGGTAAATTCCTCACACCTCAACACAATTCAAATTTTTTTAGTAAATTGCTAATGTATGGATTTTAATTTATTCATCCTTCTAATATAACAGAAATATTATTCAGTTACAAAGTTTACTTTTACTCACCCATACGTCCATCCTGTGGTGGAGTTATTACTGATAATCTTGTTGGACCAGTTGGTGTCTCCAGCTAAATGAACAGCAAGTCATTAACCACAGTGTAATAAGCATATGATTATTAAGACATTTTAAGCAATAATGTTATATTTTTGAGGTCTACAGAGTCTGCAGATTTCCAGAACTCTCTGCTGTCAGTTTTGGTCATAGCACTAAACTGCAAAACCTAGGAATGAAGTAATTTTTAAAGATCTATGGGCAGGTGGGAAATACATGTATTTTAGCTTTATTATATAACCTATCACATTCAGATAAGAAGTGTTATCAGACACTCTCACTGTTTTCTGTGCTGACATTCCATTGCAAGCCAACAGCTGCTCCTGGATGTTACCTCTCCTAACCAGGATACCAACAGCATGAAAAGCTCCTGCCTTCATTCTCATGCCAGCAATATCACTCAAAACCTGCAATTCCCTACTCAGGTATCAGAGTCTAAATGGTGCTTTCAGACCACTAACATTTTTGTAATATTGGGATTTTAAGAATTTGCTATTTACGTTGGTATCATGAGTTTAAAAGCCTGTATATGGCATGTGGAGAATATAATTCCAGAAATTAATGTTGTGATTTATTTGCTTTTGGTTTCTTTTGGGGAGTATATGACTTCTATCCTGCATCAAGCATATCTGAAAGTATCATGCATGTCAGAATGGCTTTGAATGGGATGGGGGGAGAATCTTATTTTTTGCAACATTAACAGAGTAAGAGAAATCAAAAGGATATATGTGTGTAACTATACCTATACAAGTATTAAAAAACCCCACTTACTCTCCTCATTGGTGAAGGTACAGGATCAATCTCCATTGCCTCCACCCTTGCAAGAAAGGTCAAAATATAACATTGTAATAAAAATAACATTTTCATTATAAAGACTAAAATTATGTTAGAGTCTAATGTTAATTTTGACTAATAATGGAAGAGCATAATACATAATGCATAAGGCACGTAAGTATTTAGGACTTATTCCAAAACTCACTAGCAGTAAGAAAAATCTATTCAGTGATTCTGAGCTTTGGTTAAGACATTTACAGAGTAAGTTATTTTATGATTAGGATTGTTATTCTTCTATTTGTCTGAATAAATATGCATGTTTATGTATTTTTCATTTGTAACCAAAACAAGGGCACTCAGAATCTCTAGGTTTTTCGTAGAAAAGAAAGTCACAGTCAAAGGTATAGAAATATTTTAGCTTGAGCAAGTTGTATATTCATTTTACCTAAAATTAAATTAGCCTTATTGGAGTGGCTCATCCCATGTATCCTGAGACAACTACAGTGTACATATAGGTGTCTGTACAATAAATTTAGTTTTTCTCTATGGTAAATGGAGAGTGTCTCACTAATCTATCTAGCTATCCATTCATCTATCTAGCTATTCATCCAGAAGTTCTTTGGAATAAGGTGCATCATGTGTTAGGTTTCTTTCCAGTAACCACCATCCATAGAACTGTAATGTACACTTGGATAAATAAGACTTTCCTCAGTTCTTTCATATTTGAACAATTTGCAAAAACAAAACAAAAAAAATCAGAAAATATTTTAAACTCACTACAAAAAGGCTACTTTCTGTATAAAATATTAGTTAATATTTTCATTGAAAATTAACAAATTTGTACCCACGTTTCAGAAGTGGAAGGACGACTTGAATGAAGAGAAAATGAAGAGTAAACATTCTGTTTGCTTGAAGGAACTGAAGTCATTAAGAAATTTAATATTAGAACACAGCTATATCCAGTGATAGGTATTCCATAGTTAATATTTTAAACAAACACTTCTTACTGGATATACTTCTGCTCATACTGGAAAATGGTGGTGTTTTTTCAGGAGGTTTCATACTACTAAAGGGGAAAGAAGAAACAATAGCTATAAATTGAAAGCTGGTTTGATTAGATAACATGCCTAACTGGTCAATAAAGCATAAAATCAAAGCATTTATCCATCAGTAGCAGGTTTTAACATGACACATTTGCTATGAAGCAAAGTAAGAATTTATTTGGTAAAGCTATGAACTTGCTTTTTACATCATAATATTTGCAGTACTCATTATACACCCAACAATATCAAATTTAACACCACATTATAGGAAAGTACGTTAGAGAACAGCAAATGTTAAAATACAATTATTAAATATAGCTAAGCACAAAATTAATTTCATTTCACAAAATTTTACATTTACCAAACTTTAAGAAATCTAGTTATCAAATGAAATGTTGGCATTTTTATGCTATTCAACATTAACTTTGCAAAACTGGTATCTTTGACAAGAATCATAAATAGGAGGAATATGTTTACTAGGCAAGCAAGAAGAGGCCCTAGGACACTTCTCTCCAGGTAGAACTCAGAAAAAAAAATCTAAAATTCAGTAAGAACTCTGTAGTTGATATAACCAAGATGCTATTTATTTGAGAAGCAGACAAGAAAATGGAGGCATAAAATGAGTAAAAATATATAAAGTGCCATAATCCACCACATACAGAGTTTCCTTTATACTGGCTTTTTCTTTCTGTTACATTACATCAAGCAGTCTGAGAGAGCAAAATACAGTATTATGTGCAAAATGAAACACAGAACAGGAATAAAGACCAATTAAAGATCAAATCTGTACAATTAAAATGCTGATTTCATGAACTGGCTTATTAAGGAGATTTAAATAACAGTTTCAGCTCTCTTTTGGAAGTCAGATGAAAAGATGAAGGTGTACCAGTCATTGAGCAGAGGGACAAAGATGAATGACCTCTTGGCTACACTTTCAAACATATGAAAAAAGAGACTAATTCAAGATGAGACAAGAATTTAATTTTTACTAGAAATAGAAACGAGAACCATGCTGCAAAATTCTGGTAACTTTTTAAAGGGGGTAAGATACCAGAAAAGGCATCATAGTATTTTCCAGGCTGATGCTATGAAGTCCATTGCAAAATACATAAACATGGTTATGTAACTGCAAATAAAAAAAATTAATACTGAGTATCTATGTGATAGACTTTATTAAAAATTCATTTTACATTTAACTAAAAATATTAAAATAAAAGGATTTCTTTCTGACAGGATTGATTATTGTGAATAAAATGGATCTGATGTCAGAAATTTCTATACATTTATTTCTGTAGAAACACATGAGGAAGGTAAACAAATTTTTATTCTTTTATCAATTAAAACTTACTGTTGTCTGATTACATTTACTTTTACTGCATTAAACCTCTTACCATTGTAGCTGTTGAATTTGTTGTGTTACTTTCTTGAGAGACTCTTCCAGCTTTGCTATCTGTGAGATAATCATAGATTTAAATAAAGTCTATTTGTGTGATATACAGCTTCATTTTCATCCAGCTAGTATTCTAAAGTGTTGAAAGGCTGCTTTCTATTGGTTTTAATCTTAAGACATCATTGCAATTCCAGATTTATTGGAGCTGTTATGGCTGTGTAATGGACCCATTAAACAGTCAGTCTGGAAGAGATATGCTTCTTTTTGGCAGTTAAGGACTTAGTTTGATTACCTTTTCTTAAGTATGCTGGTAATACTGGATAAATGAATAGTAGGAAAAGTGCTGAAAAATAGTTTTCTTTTATTTTCCTTCCTATTTTTCATATCTGATATAAAAGCTTTGTTATGATTAATATAGTTATCTGGAAAAGCTACCAATAAATGTACAAAATACATTGTTCTCATATTTCTCATTTCAGATTCAAAATGTATTCAGCTCACTTCAGTATCTATTTGTAGTAAGCCTAAGTGAAAAGTTTTTTTCTACTCTGTTAAGAGACACAACCAGAAATATCTCCATTAAAAATGTTAAGAGCTGGCAAAATTGAAGAATATAAAGGTCACAAACACTAGGTCAGATCCCTAGTATGTGTATTTTTTACAGTCTTTCATTATGTGAACATATACTGTATTTTATGTAGGATACAAAAATTCACTCAATAGCCTCAATACTGCACCTATGTTTTATATTTAATTTCCATTATGTAACCTTAATCCTTCACATTGTTAATAGTTTGATTTGAAGGCAAATTATTAATTTGCTTGTTAACTTTTCATGCTTCTAAAAATATTATTTGAGTCCTTTAATAAAATTACCTGATTTATAAAATCATAATGTTTTGGGAGATACTATGCTCTTTTTGCAGATGCAAAACTCTGCAAAACAGATTAAAGAAAAAATGTAATTTATGTAAGATGTGGTTTTTGGTATTCTGGTTTTTTCTACCTAATAATAGGTTTGATTAAGAAAGGAACCAGTCAGGAAGAATGTACCTTACCCTGTCACTCTCAAGGACTGGGTAATTTTTAGTCCAAAGTACCTTAAAAAAGATGAGTAACTATTTGGTTTTCAGTATTTTGGGATCCTAGCATAACAGGACATCTAGACCTGCCAGGGACATGGACAGGAAGTGGCCACCATCACCTGCACCCTAATACCTGCACAACTCACAGAAACAGCACGAAAGCAGTCTCATGAAGACCATGAGACCTTGTGGGCTGACAGTGACAAGGATGACAAACTAGAAATAAGGACTGGGACCTGAAACCAGACAGCCAAGCATGAGAAACTGGAATGGTGTTTAATACAACCAGCCTCTCCTGTTCCTGATCCACTGCAAGCAGTTTTAACATACTAACAATATACAGAATGGGCAAAACAACAACAAATCCACCCAAAACTGTGCCATTGAAACAGCAACCAACTACATTTTCAGCTGTTTTGGTATTGTCACCTGGACACCCTCCTTAGGTCAAGCACCATCCCTGAATACTTCACAAACACTGCTGAGTGAATGTCTCGACAGTAAACAACTTTAAAAAATTACCATTACAAAGTATCAAAACTCTCTATTTTTTTGGAAGTAAATATCTATTTATGCTGAATTCTATTAAGATATTTGTTTTTTTCTGTCTACAGGTTTCAGTTTTACCATCTGGTACAATAGATTAGAAGTGGGATGAAATCAGGATTCCTCCCTGGTCTGGCTTTGAAAACAGAAGGACAGGACCCTAAAAAACTTACATACAACACAATACACTATTAGTAATCCCAAAATGCATTCATGGAGAAGGAAGAATGGGCCACAGAGCACCTAATTTTCCAAGCTTTCTATCCATGACAATCATACCAGAAATTCCTCCTACACATGAAATGGCCAGCTGGGCAGCTACATGAGCTTTTTCTCTGTCATTTCATACACCAATGTATGAACACCCACTCATGGCTCAAGTCACCAATACTGCCAAGTAGCTTAAAGCAACATCCCAAGTCCTTAGAAATCAAAGAAACATCCAGCAATTTAATCAAATATTTAGAAGAAGCTGAAAAATGAAAAAGAATCTACCTTCCAACATACAAATGAAGAAGCACTGTCACAAATGCAGTACCTGCTCACCACAGAATTAATTCTGTCCTTCACACTGAGCTATCCCAAATTCAGGGCACTAGCCCTTAGTCTTGCTCCTCATTGCTCAAGTTTCTCATTTATTTTGTCAGCCCTAGTCTTCTTTTCCTCTGGGCTTATCTTCTAGCATGCCTCTCTCCCCACCTCTTCCACTTTTCCCTCCATACAATGAAATAATTTCTTCCCTCCCTGTTCTTAGATTCTCTATTTAATCCTAACCACCTCACAATTAGAATATTTTATTATAAACAGTAACCAGAATTAATAGAGTCCTCACAGACTTTAAACAATTAAAAATTGGTATTTATAATGACAGTAATAAGTCAATCCTGATTAATTATTCTAAGTATTCCCAAGAAGATTAATACAGTTTCTAAAAATAAAGTAACAAGGCAAACATAAACAAAAACCTAGAAAATCACAATTACAGTTACCTTTTGTTTGTGGTATTTTAACAAACGCTTACGAAATTTTTCTTGAAATTCTGAAACCTGAAAATAAATAGAGTTATATCAAACTTCACATAATTAGATTTATGCAAAGAAGTGATGGAAAAGAACTACTTCACAGTATGCAAAGTTTTCTGTCTTTTATAGGCAGTTAACATATCTCTTTAACATCCTCTTAAAAAAAATCCCAAACTAATCTAAGTTATTATCACTGATAGACAAAGCCTTATAAAGTTAATTTAATCCAATATGTCCTACAGTAGAGCTGGTAGACTTATTTCACTAAGGTTATATTTTAACACTATGTTCAATAAAAAGGTAAAGACATTAGAAAGCCATCTTAGCTGCAGTGTTTCTTATTCATCAATGCTAAGCAAACACATAAAATTAATGGCAACATAAAAAGTAATCTGTCTTACTGGCAATTATAATATACCTTGTAAAAATACCCTGTTAATTAAAAAATAATTGTTAGACACACTGTCTGGTGATGTGTAAGCACTTTTTGTGTCCAAATGAGGATCATAAACCATGACAAGTTGAAAGTAAAAATGACAAGGTAGGCAAGACAAGAGTTTGAGGAACGAATCACCATAGGTAGTAACTTCTAATAAATCTTTTTTCTCACATGTTAGAAAACTGCTAGAAAATCTGTAGGAATTGAGAAGACCAAGAAGAAACACTCTGAGAATATAAGCCCATAGAGGAGTAATAAATGGTTATTCTATTCTTTGTGGAAGAACCTGGGAGGTTCTCACTGATTACTCATCAAAGGATCAGGTGTGTCTTTGGAAGAACTGATGGAAGAAATATCCACTTAGAAAGTGATGGCTCTGAGATGTCTCCACTCACTCAGAAATGATTTCTTGGGTCTAGGAGAAACCCGAATTTGTCAGTTTCAGTCAAAAAAGTAAATCAGATCTTACCAGTGGTTTAAAATGGAATAGGGGAGACATCATCATTCCCATTTTAAAAAATGCATGTTCCTATATCCCAACTCCGCTTAACATCTGAGAGGACAGAGTAGGTCTGAATACAGTTCAGATTACTCAAAGGTATGCAAGAACTTCAGTAAAAGAATGACCACACAGAATGTGAATCTTCATGGCTGAGAAATAGACAGTTGAAGAAGGGATGCACCTAAAACTAATGAGATGCAGACTAAAACTAATGATTAGCACAGACACAGTGCATGAGAATGGATACTTCTTCTACCAGAATCAAATTCAAGAGTAAGAAATGAAACTAACAGGTTAAAACCTGAAAAATTATATAATCATCATGCAGTGAACAAACTGTGGACCTCCCTTCCACAATATGCAACAAATGCTAAAATTCAGGAAACAACCTGACAATTATGTGGGGAAAAATATCCACCAAAGCTTCTCAATGCAGACCATTCAAACTTTGAGAAATCCCTGTGCTTTGAGTTGCTGAAAGCTGGGAGGCTCCTCTGAAGATGTATCACTGCATCCAGCTCTGCTCTCATGCTTTCCTAAGCACCCACCAAAGTGATAAGATATTAGATTAGATAAGAGATTAGCTAAATTGCTCTTACATCTTTTGATGCCAGGACAAGTTCTGAATATACTTCAATGCCTTCACTACACTTCAATATGTTCCCAACAGTTATTTCACACTACAGGAAACCCACCTCAGCCTTGAGAGATTGAGCCCCCTTTTTTCCTGACTTTGGCACACTATGGAAGTTTGTATTCCCATGTGACTGGAGGTGTGCAGGTTCCCTGCTTTTGTTCAGTTTAAAGTAACTGCTGATCCTGCTGTTAAAAAGTGGGTATGGAAGGACAGAGGAAGGGTTCATGTCTACCTTGCGTCCCTTCTGCATCTGACTCCCGAAAGGGGCCAAGCTCAGCTTTGGAAAAGTCTGTGAAGCCTGGGCAGAGCAAATGTGCATCCATGACCATTGCTGGAGAAAACAGGTGATATTCCCTTGGTTATTGTTCTGCTTGATCAGGAAGCTCACCCAAAGGTCAGCAAGTCCCAGCCCAAGGAGATGAGAACAGCCAACAAGGCTGCAGCTGGGCCCAGGGACAATGGTTGTCCCTGGAGTGGTTGAAACTGCTGCTGAAATGCCCAGAAAGAGGGAAAAGGACACAAAGTCCCAAAGCCAAGCCAAAGAGATGCACTAAATGAGGAGGAAAAGGGAGTTTGCATGCACTCATTTAACCCAGACAGCTACTGAAGGTCTTGACTGGAAACTAAGCCTGATGAAAGGAATCGTATCTGGAATTCACAGAAAGCAGGAGGAAAATGACCTTGGAATAATTTACTGCATCTATCCTGAAAAAAAAAAGAGGTGTGTTTTGACCAAAAAAAGAAAAAAAAAAAAAAATAGAAGAGGGAGAGAGCACTGTCAGCTCAGGACTGTATCCAGCTCACTGTGTAACTTTTTATAGCTATAATTAAGGCACACTATCTGGGCACATTTAAGCTTCTGGAAGATCAAATTTTTCACTGCATGGCATTGAAAGTGATTTTACACCATTAAAATAACCAGACTAGTGGTCCTTAGAGAGAGTTTGAAAACATAAGCAGTGACCATAATGAATAATTTATGTCTCCTTAAGAACTCAGAAACTGTGGAATTAAGGAAATAAAGGTGGTAATGGACATACATTCATTTTCAAGCATTCACTCATACACTTTTCCAATTCACATAAAAATCAGGAGGAGTTGCTGATTATTTCATAGAGTAAAAAAGTTTTAAGGTAGATTCACCTGTGATAGTTCTTTTGAATATTTCTTGCTTAACATATCTATTGGCATGAACAGTGATTGAATATCAGGACTTGTCTATGAAGAAATGAAAATATACCAAGGTTAGCATTTTTATTAGCAAGTCATATTAAATAAAGTATTTTGTAAAGTATTTCTTAAATTGACTGATGAATATAAATTTTAAAAATTTGATAGATTAGAGAAGGATAATGCAGAAATTGAAAATAAACCTAGTTTTCTTTAATGGCCTTATCAACCATCTGGAAAGCACTGGGATTTTTCTTAAATATATTACCCACATATATACTTATTGTGTTTAAGATAGTACCAGTGTCCAGAGGACATTCAAGGAGGGTGCTGTGGTCCCTGGAAGAGGCACTGCATTCACACCAAAAGCCAAGTTTCTAGCAGCTGCTTTCCAGGCTTTATGGTTCCCACCATTCCCAGCTACATGGGATGCATCCTACCATCAGTTTTGTTTGTAAGTCCTTTTTAGAATAGTTCCAATGCTGACTGGGATCCCTTTGTCTCTCCCTGCTCATCAGGCAGCAGAATATTATCCTAGAAAGAGCCCTAAAGTAGTTGTTGAATTTTTAAAATATTTAATGACTTGTGTCATTTAATCAGAGCTGTGCATGCTTTAGGAAAACTGCTTTTCCTTGCTTTCCCCAGCTACTAATTTTTACAGAACTCACAGAAGGTAATTAATTGGATTTGAGACTCCCTTTGCAATTTTGAATTTGGTTAATACCAGCCAAAGAGTCAAAAATTTCCAGCTGACAGATGGAGAAATGCAGACAGCCAGCACAGGTAACCTACCTATGGTATTTTAGTAAAGAAAATAAAAACAAGACAATAACATTCAGTGTTGAAAACTTCAGATATTAATAAAAAATATATTCATCTTCTTTAAATGAAATGCATCCATAGGAACCAAGCTCTTGCAATCTACTTAGGGTTCTATCAAAGCAATGATCTTGGCTTAAGTACCTATCAGATTTGAAAAAAATAAAACCCAACCAGCTTCATGCTGATATAAAAAGTCTTTCAAATAAAGATTTGTGTAACACTGTTTATATCTTGTCTGCTGCATGGAGGAGTAGCAGATGTTGCTATGATATTCTGAAATACTGAACAGCCAGATTCTGATTTATCATAACACTTAACCATCCTCTGGAGAAAAGCAAGTGGGGATCATGAGACACAGAAGGAAGACATAAAGGTGACAAGAATGCATTACTGTAAAGATGAGAATATTTAATGTGCACATGTTGATTACCCCAACATGCAATTTAATTAGGAGTTCTAACACATTTAAAGGACCTCCTCTCATTGGGAATTCCTCCATAGCATCAAGCTCATAAAGCTTATCAGGTACATTTCCACTCAGGTTCCTGAATTACAGAGCCATGACTTTTTTTATATGCATCTTTAATTATCATTCCAATCATTTTACCTGTTCTTAATCAAGGATAAGCAATCATCATTAATGTCTTTTTAAAAGAATATGGTAATTTGCTTCCTTCCAGCCCTCCAGAGCAGTGGCAGTTCTAATTAAACATCTAATATTTTTGTTAGTATCCCAATCATTGCATTTGTAAATTCCTTCTGTGCTTTTGAAGTAAATTACCAAGTTCTGCTGAAATGGTGCAATTTAAGACTGATGTAACTTAAAAATTAACATTGTTTTGAGTAAGGTGTTGAACAAGATGACCTCCAGAGGGCCTCAACAACTTAAATTATTCTTTGACTGAAATTAATAACATTTGCAGCAACAATACATTGATCTTCAAAGCATATTAAAATATGCCCTTTAGAATTTTTATAAAGGGTTTTAAAATTTTTTTCATATTTGGTTACTGTGTACATTCTTCCTTTGTATTATAATTGCATTTTGTTGTTTTGTTGCAATTTTTTAAGTGACATTGTCTTCTTCAACGTGCAAGATTCCTAGGAGGCCTTCATGTTTAGCTGTATTGAGTTTTATAAAATGTTTTTAGTGTTTTTCTTTTATCCTTACAAAGCATTGTCTTTTAGGTAGGCATCAGTTTATACAAAAATATTAATGTTTTCACAACCTATTTATGGAATCAGCTAAAGAGAAGATTGCTCCTGGGAGAAATGCAGAATTAAAGATTCCTAATGATTAATCTAGAAAGGGAATTAAAAGCTCTTAATTCTCCAGTGAATAACAAAAATTCCCAACAATATTTCAAACCCTTTCTTAATCACACAGCCACAAGGAAAATAGTTAAGCTTAAGAGAAACCAGGAAAAAAAAATAATCCACTTGAAAACACTGCTGAGCTATCATGCAGGTTTTCAATTCAGTCCATTACATGAAATAATTCATTACAGTTCATTTTTGGTGATGTACAAATGCCAAAATCAATAAACATTTTTCCCCATTTTGAAAGTAGCCACTGATGTTATGCAGTAACCAGCCATCTTTCTTGAAAAGTTTAGAATGATTTACAGTCCAGCAGTACCTCAAAACCTGTAATTTAAAGGCATATTTACAACAAAAAGCAGACGTGTCTAGTGCCTAAGTATCTTAGTTTAGCAACCTAGTATCAGTAAGTATTCATGCACAGTTGGCAAAAACAAAAAAGGAAACATTTTTTAATTCAAATAGTTTAGCTGTTAGGCAAACCACAGATTAATGTAATGCCACAAAACTAAAGCTTGATTTACCTCTTTGGAAAGGACTAAGGTACGACAAGCCTTCCTACAGATCAAACATTCATCTTTTTTGCCTGTAAGGTAATGACACATTTAAAATATAGATCAAACTGAATATATATTGAATACATTGTAAATGGAATGTGATGCCTAAACATCTGGAGCTTGTGGAAGAAATCTGCAGGTTACACAAGAAATATGAATAAACATGAATAAAGAATTTGATTATATAACCATTACACAGAGTTGTGCAGGAAAAATGTGTGTGAATGTCATCAGGTCTTACTCCTGTTAATAAGCATTCATGTAAATTATTTTATGAATATCATTAGTGTCACAGAATGCAGGTGACTTTTAGTTCCCTTGATTTAAATAGGACTACTCGCCTGGTTTAATTAAATGTATGCTTAAGTGCACTAATGACTTACAGTCAATCTGATATGTGGCTTTTTAGACTGGGGCAGAGTTGGGTTTTCCCAACAAAATATATGAAACCCAAGTGTCAAGAAATTAGTAATTTTGCCTTGTGAATTCCTCCAGTGAAAAAACAGTAAAATCACTTTTAAAACATTATGACTTTTAAACTCTTTATCTGCAAACGTATTAGAAAATATCTGTAGCAAATGCACATTATTTCAATATTTAGAATTGATAATTGTACTAGCTACTGCCTTTTTGAAGATTCTATAAACGTCTTTAAATACATTTTAAACCTTGGATTGCCATTAGTCCTGAATTCGCAGCAGAAAGATACACAATCTCTCACATATTTTTCTGCCAAACAATATTAAGAGCAGAGAGGAGAGATGTTGTTCATGTTCTAAGAGCCTGCAAGCTGCAGAGTCTGCATTTTATGATCCTCTACCCTCAACAGCAACCCTGTGAAAACATCTAGTCAAAAGTTTTAAGTACTAAAATACAGATTGATCATTACTTTTGTGTGCCCTTACGAAAACCAGGGCATGTAGCATGATGTGAAAAAGGAAAACCTTTATATTTGTCCTCTGCATTTTTTTTTTTTCTTTTTAAAAGCAACTTCATTATTCCTCTGTCTTTCCCACATATCTTTGTCCAAGAACACCACTGGAGTCCCAGAATACTACTCTGGAGTTCTACATAACACAAGAGCTTCAAAACATCACCTCTAATCTTCCCTCATGCTGCGGAAAGTCTTCAGGAACAACACTGGGCCCAAAACTGACAAAAACTACTTCCAAAACCTATCCTAAACAAATTGTACGTTCAATTGCTCTTTCACTAAAGAAGAACCATTATTTTTCCCAAATTTGCCAGAACAGAAGGGCATCTATTTGTGGATTTTTTCGGATTTTTTTTTTTTAATAAAATTATGGCTCATAAGCATCCAGAGTGTGGTTTTATTAAAGCTCCATTGCGTTTGCTCTCAAAGCCACATCCACCTGGAGGTGGGCACAGGCGAGTTATACTGTTCAAAGCGAATTAACAGCAAGGACTGGAAAGGCTTATCAGTAACATTCGAAGAAGTGCTCAGGGCTTTATTTTTTTCCACAGCGGGTGAGAAAAACCAATGTTTGAGGTGGATGCGCGCCCGCCAGCACAGCGGCCCCGCCGGGCGCGCCCCAGCAGCCATTACCTTTCTGCAGGCAAACCTCACAGAAAACGTGGCCGCAGCTGGTGAGGCAGAACCGCGGCGCGGTGCTGCGGGGCTCGCACAGGCAGGAGTTGCAGAACACGGACACGGCCATGGGGCAGCGGGGCAGGCCGGCTCCGCGGCGGCCGGGGCCGGGGCAGAGCCGCTCGCCCTCAGGCCGAGCCCCGCGGCCGCGCCGCCGCCATGTCCCGCCCGCTGAGGCGGCCTGAGGGCAGCGCGGCCCGCGCCCCTCCCGCCGCGGCGCCCCTCACACGCGCCCAGATAAAATTTGGTTTTCGTGGCTTCTCGCTACCAAAGTGGAGCGGTGCCGACGCAGACGGCGCTGTCAGAGATTTCCCCTCCCGTCCCCAAACGTGGGAAGTAGAACTTCACCCACAGGGCTCCGGGCAGGGGCTTCAGCAGGAGCCCCGCCCTGCTCACTCCTCCCGGTCAGCGTTTGGGGATGTTATCGATGGAAATTTGTCCAGCCAAATTAAAATAAAAAATAAAATAATTATCTTGCAATCAAATTCTATCTAGCCAGCAACAAGGAAAGAACAGTGGTAAGCCCGTGGTCAGCTCTAAGTGTGCAACAAAAAAAGTCAACCTCAGCAGAGGTTCTCCTCTATGCCTGCACACCTCTATCCTAGCGCAAGCAGTTTATATAAGAAATATTCCACCTAAAGCAAAGATTTCAGCAGTCAGTCTTTTCTTCCATTCAAAGTCTATAAGTTAATAAAATTTTATTTTTTAATAATAAAGAAGAACAATTCAGTGTCTAGGGTTATTAAATCCCTTAAGGAAATTTACATTCACATGTTTCTGCCCGAAAATTTCCATTATATCCATCTCAAGTCATTTATGCAGTGATCAGCACCTGGTCATCCTCATATCTCTCCAGACATAACCCATCTCCTACCCAAGCCACATCCTTTTACTTGTAAATCGAGTTTCAGCATACACCAAGTTTAACCTGCGACGATAGGGGAAAAACTCCTAATACAAATGTATATATTCTAACAAATATTCAATATCATATATATCATACCAGAAATAGCGTAATATCCTCTACACATAACAGGGAGAACTAAAAAACAAACAAACAAAAAAATAGAGAAAATAATTGTGGATTTCACTATTTTAAATTCAAAAATCCAGGAAGTTTGATAATTTGCTATCGCAGGTTTGAAGTGGCATCTTCTGTTGTGGAAAAAGAGCAAAACAAGGAGATTCGCTTGTTAGATTCATTTCTTAGACAAAAAAAAAAAATTCCCTATTAGTTGCTAGTGTCCCGTGATGAAAATTTTAGGCAGAAAGTCCCCTACAGACTTAGCTGCAGTGCAGGCTGTAGCTTTGGGTATGACAGAGCCAGAAACTGCAGAGGAAGCTTTTAACTTCACAAAGGCTTCTGCCCCCAAAGCGCTTCCCAAAAGAGCTGTGAGTCAGCTTCTGTTTTGTGGAGTTAATTAGAAATCTTGAAGAAGACTGAAAACATTTCCTAAAAGCAAAAATGATGATGATATTATGATTATTATTAATAATAATAATAATAGTACCATTAGTACTACTAAAGAATTAAGCAATCACAAATTACATTCAAGACGCCCAAGTCTCAGTGCTGAGTCTATACTCTTTGAGTATAGACCTAATTAATATGGTGAAACATGATCAGCTCTTTTATGAATTCTGAAATGTTGCTTCTCCTGGATTACCAGCTGGAGTGTATTGTAAGTGAAATGAGTTATGTTTGTCATTGGGATGTGGTAAGAAGCCTTACACTAAATATCAGCTAAAGTCTGAACCACAACCTTGTCACAACACTTTATTACTTCTTGGACTTCATATACCATATGGTTTTAACACAGATTCCCTTCTTCCCACCACCAAAGATGTTATTATAAGACATGTTGTGAGTGAGTGCTCTTTCAAAATTAATTTAATAACACTTACTTACTGGTCATTCCAAGTAGCACCTCTGAAGTATCCGAATTTTTAAATATAGGACACAATGCAGTGAGTAGCTTTATGAGATTTTATTTGGATTGATTTGGTCTCTAGAATATTGCTTTTTTGTCTCTCCTTTGTATCAATTTTATTGATTCTCACATACTACCAGCTGTATTTTAATTCTTGTGCTGGAAATATAAGTAGACTTAAAGGAAAATGTCATTTCCTTGCTAAAGAAAACAACAGGTGGGAAGATAGAAAAAAGAAAGAAAGAAAGCAGTGCCTTTCGAACAATAATTAGTCTACAGATACTTCACCTTTCACTACCTTTTAAACTAGCAAAGGGTCTAAAAAGATAGGCAAGAAAACAAAAAACAGTATTCTGCTATCACAGTGCTCTAGAAGCTTTTACTACCATGTTTTTGTATGAAATCACCTCCAGCTCCTTTCTACTATACTACTGTTCTTTCAAGCTAATTATCTGGGTTTTTAACCACAGCCTTTGATTTGCCATTTGCCATACTGTAGTTACACTGCTATTTGTACATAAACTAGCTATATTAGGACATACAGATATATGCAGCCAAGCTGCAGTAAGTAAAATGGAAAATTAAGTCAAAAACTGGTAATTTCTGTAGGCAGTCATATTAAAGTCACTAAATAATTAAAATTTTTAAAATTCTCAACACAGAAATATTTAGTGCAGGAATGAATTAAAATAAAATTGGCATTGTTTACCAAGAAACCTATAATTTATGTTACCTTGGCACACTTCATAAAGACTATAATTTACATAAACAACTGTGGGAGGCATCTGATTGTCATCAATTTTACAGCCTAATATTAAGGGCTTTTCTGAAAGAAAAAGTAAGTATAATTCCAAATTGCTTGTTTGGGTCTCTCTCTTCCATGATAATTGCTGCCACCACTGATCAGTTCAAATTCTGAATATTTTACAAGAAAAGCATTCACAATTATATTTAGGTGTTACACATATATAGAGTTGAAGACAATCTCACCCAATTAAACACCACAGGGGATGTAATTATTTCTCTGTTTACTATCTGAATCCCAGTCAGTCTGAAGTGCTGAACTGTTCATGGTAGTGACAAATAAGATTACTCAGCAAGTAGAGTAATTTAAAATCTTAGGAAATTTTAGTTTAGATTTAACCTAAATTAAACATTCATTAAGTTCTGAACTTAAATGCTGCCTTAGTCACTGACTCTTCTATATTTAGCTTTACATCTGTAGATGGGGGAAAAAATAGTAAAATATGGAATTCAAAGAGCAAAATGTGAGGGGTTGCTAGAGGTTGTGACCTAGCTGGAGAAACAAGAATTAGAACAGAAAATGAGAGAAGGTTGAGAGTTCTATACAAGCAATTTTCTCATAGGTGCAGGGTTTCTTTGGATGTTCAGTGTTACATGGTGTGCAATTTTTGAATCTGTGCATTGATTTTATAGAACTTAAACAAGCTTCTTAGATATAAAGAAATCTCTGAGAGATTTGATTTGCCAAATTCCAACAGAGATGAGGATTAGTGTTTGTACTATAGCCCACCACAAAATATTACTGTTGGTTTCTTCGCTTGTTTTCCGAAATTTTTCTTCACGCTCCTAGAGAATAAAAGAAAAGCAAAATTATTACCTTTAGGCATCTGTATGTTTCATGGTAACTAGAAAGGCATCCTTCTTCTGCATAATGGTGAACAAAAAACATTTTTCCATATGGATAAAAATGAAGGTTTGTACTTATCTGTATGGTGGATATCTTCACAAATCAAAACTGAGAAGCAGGCACACTGCATCCTGAAGCAGCAAGGTAAACTGAGCTTGCCCTTCCCAGAACTTCACAGAAGATGTATTATGCCAAACATGTTCCATCAGTACAGATTTTAACCTGTTTAGGTTTACAGTCACTTCCATGTTGCTGTCAAGAGCCCTTTCACAGCCAAATTTCTGCTTTTGGGTTACTAGTTGATACATTTCAAACACAGTCTGTGTGCATATAGAAAGGTGACTGGGTGTACACTTGTTTGAAGAAGGGATATATAAATATACACTTCATGGAGATATATAAATAGACAGTCATTTCCTTCCCCACTCAATAGAGTTTGTGCAGTCAGGGCAATGTGGAAACAACAGCATCACCCACAATGGTACCTGCCACCTGCTGGGCTGAGTCTGACAAAGAAAACTCTGGAAAGTTGGAAAATGCTACTTTAAAATAACACCTATTGCTGCAAGCATGAGTACACGGTGATTAATTAGTTTTATGTAATCACTTAAAAATATTTTGCAAGGTAATGGAGACTATTTTGATTAAATATCTATTGATTTTTTTAATGAGTTAGTTAAAAGCACCACTGCAACTGAATAACAAACCTCATAATACTTTATAAATCAATAAGCCTATGTACAATATCTTTAACATTTACATTTTGGGACATACATACTCTTTCATAATGTTGTTCTCTGGTTACATGATGAATTTGCTCAATTAGATGCTCTAGTCTGATATTAACTTCATTCACTTTGTCTTTGGCTTGAATAGCAGATTCATCCAAAAAATGTTCTCCAACTCTGATGTCCAAGTGGATACGCTGCAAAAGGAAAAAAAATGTTCTCATTACTGTATCTTCTGCTTTTTCAAAGTTCCTTAGAATAAAAATGAAACAATGGATAATTTCCCCTTAAGATCAATTGCTTATAAAAATTCCTCCTAAATTTTGAATCAGGTGGAAAATTTGAAGGGTTTCTTAATTTTATTTTTAAATTTATTTTACAAATTTTCAATCTTCACTAATGTTAGGACATTATTTTATGTTAGCATTGATTCAATTACCATTAAAATGTTGCCTTTGTCCAAAACAGTTAAAAAAAAAAAAGTACTGCTCATTAGAATTCACATTTCATCCTGATATTGCAGAAATTACTATCTTTAATAGTACTGTTGGAGGCTTTTTACAAATGCACTTGTAGGTTCCCTCACATAACTGTTTTCTTCACATTATTTATCCAAGTTGGAAGATGTCCCAATATCCTCCAGGCATTTTTATGATCTATAGCAAAAATACCTCAAGCCAGCCAAGCAATAGAACCATAGAAAGAAGAGAGAAGAATGGAACTTTCAATGTTATGCAACTTATTTTGGCATGCATGAAAAAGTCTACTAAAACTAGTAGGACAAACTGCTCCTAGAAGCCAATTAGTACCTAAGAG